TAATTTCTTTTCTTCTATAAAAAAATAAAACGCGTCCATCCATCCTTAAGGATTGGCCCGTACCTTCTTTAGTAACACCAGTAAAATTTTAAAGCGATTACATAAAATATAATATGAGTTATGAATTATTTTGATTTATAAAAAAGCATGGGATACGATATTTTGTCTTCAAAATCCCACCACTACTCCATTCATGGTTAATATATTTTGATCAAAATATACGCACTGAATTAAAATCCCAAATTGGTTTTAAACCGATGGTGGCAATAAGGGAATTTCAGAGGAAATCAATTCCTTCATGATATCCTTTATTTTGTCATCAAGTTCTTTAAAAAACCCATTATAAACCCCCAAACCGAAGAAGCCATATCCTTCCCTAATGTATTATTGTATGACCTTCTTCACTCCATGGGTATATCAAATGGTATTTTGATTATCAGTAATGTTCCAGGAAGTCAAATTCCCATATAGTAAAAAGACATAAAAATAAAATGGTGGGGATCATTCAAAGAATTCCACCACTGAACATAAAATTAGTCATGGATCCGCAATAAATTATTCCAGCCAATCTAACCAGCTTTAACCTATGCCCATAACATTTAGCTATTCAGGATAACCCCCCGTTTGGTATCAAAAAGGGCCCAATGTCAGGCCCGGTTAGCTGCAGCCAAAAAACAGCACAGAAGGAATATAGATTGATCTGTCAAGAGATGTCTGAAAAACTCTCAACCAGTTCAAAATCAGCCCATAAACATCCACAAAGTAAAGCCCACAGTCATCCTCCAGTAAATCTTCAAACACCACACACCAATAAAGACAAGGGTAAAAAATCGTTTTACATCATTCTCATCATCTAGTTCATCTAAGGGACAAAGTAGATGACAGCGATATCATAAAATCCAAAGTAAAGCAGGTAAAAAAGAAAAAGAAAGAAAAAAGAAGTTAAAACAAAAAGAAAAATAAAAAGAAAAGAAAGATAAAAAAGAAAAAAGAAAGGACACATCATCGTCCTCATCTTATTCTGAATCACTGTAAAATAGGCAGAAGGAACCTTATTCTCTTCACTCTTTGTAAAAACATAACCCAAATCAAACCGCACACAAGTTTAGTAAAAAAATCAACTAGCAACAGAAAAATTCCACTCAGCAACAAAAGACTCCACTCGCCAACAGTAAAGGTCAAATTGGCACAGTAAAAGCAAACAGTAGAGATTCTTCGACAAAGACTATCTGTTCAACCAACAGTAAAAAGCAAACACGTTAGAGATTCTTCAGACAGAGACTACTGTTACACAACGAGTTAAAAGCAAACAGTAGAGATTCTTCGACAAAAAGATACTGTTCACCAACAGTAAAAGTAAACAGGTAGAATTCTTGACAGAAACTACTGTTCACCAATAGTAAAAGAAATATAAAGATTCCAAGAAATTTTATTCTAAGGGAGGCCTTTTCCCCTTGTGAAGCATAGCATTGTAAACTGATAGAATACAGCATATACTCCATATAGCATAAGTAATTCTCTCCCTAAACTATCTCCCTCCCATTTCCCAGTTCGATCTGTAAAGGGTTCAAGTGATTGAAAGTTTCTTAAAATTCTGCTACTTAAGTTAAAACTAGTTTAGTTTATCATTTAAAGTTTAATTTTCTGTATTTAAATATTGTAATTACTATTTTGTTATTTTAATTATTTATTTTTAGTCAATATCAAATTGCTACTTTTAAAGCCCTGTTAAAGCTTCATTCTCTTCTCCCTCCACACTCTGACTTAGTTCTGGGGAACCCAGGCTAAGGTGCAGAACCCTAAACCTTAATTAAAAATTAAAAATCAAATTAAAAATTGGTTGAGTAATTTGATAAAATATTAAAATTGATTTTGGAGTTTTGCTTGTTGTATAAGTATGGCCTCTGTGGTCTGCACCTTAGTGTGATCTTCCACATCAGAAAATAATCATTCTTGTATGTTCATAAAAATCTTTGGTATATCAGCTGGAAACACCATAACCTCCTGGGTTTTATTCATTGCACTTGATTCAAAACAAGGGGAAACCTTGTGCTTTAACAACGCGTACGTCCAAAGAAATAGTAAAATGATTATATGATTATTAAATCCTATTGATAATAGATATTATTTGACATATATTTAAATGATATCTTGATTGAATATATAATTGATAATGATCGCTGCTAGTTCAGCTTAATAGGTTTTGAATATGTATGACATGTTTATTAATTTATAAATATTAAAATCAACATTATATTCTGGTTTGAGTAATTAATTAAACGTCCTTATCTCGTTTTGTTGGTATCTAAGCCAACAAAAAGATAAGGACCGTATTAATTAATTACCAACAAAAGTTTAGGACCGTTACATATCAAACAAGCAATAACAATTTATTTCTGATGTGGAAGATCACACTAAAGGCAACCACAGAGGCATACTTATACAACATACATTTTACGCAAGAACCAATTTTTAAAGTTTAGGTTTCCTGCAACCTTGACCTGGGATCCCAGGAATCAAGTCAGATTGTGAGGGGGAAGAGAAGGGAAGCCTTTAACAGGGCTTTAAGGAAGTAGCAATTATAATAATTCATAAAACTTATTTAATTACAAAGATTCAAAATTTGATTTACAAAATTGAAAGACATATACCAAAATTTAAAAGATTAGACTTACAAAGTTTAAAGAAATCTCTAACCTGTGCAATCCTTACAGTGGGACGTTGGAAAGAGAGGGAGAGGGGTTTTTTTACTAACTAAGCTTTTTGGGCTTAGGATTGCCTATAATTGGACAATACCTTCACAAAAAGAGGGAGGGGTTTACTTAAATAACAAAAAGAAAGAATCTTTACTATTACTTTTCTGTTGTGATGAATAGTACGTGTCTGCCACGATCTTTACTGTGGTATAACATGGGTGTCTGCCACGAATCTCTACTGTGGAAGATGACAGTGGTGTCTGCACCGAATCTCAAACTGTGGCCATGAACAGTGGGTTGTCTGCCACCTGTTTTAGTTGGAGATAATATCTTGGATTTTTATGAGATTCCAAATTTGAAGGAATAAGGTTCTTCTGCCTTTTACAAGAAGATGAGGGCACGAGAGTTGTCCTTCTTTTTACTTTTTTTTCTTTTTATCTTCACATTTCTTTTCTTTGATTTATCTATTTATCTTTTGACCTTTAATAATGGGAATAATCATCATGAATTGGCACTATCGCCAAAGGGAAGTGAAGGTGATTGGATGGACTAATATAATTTTATCTTTTTCTTTAATGCAAAATATTATTGAGACCATTTGGGCCTATTATATGGGGCTTTACTAATTATACCGTATTAATATACCCAGGGCAAAAAGAAAAGCCAGCCTGATTTTCGAGATGGGGGGTTTTTAAAATAGTATATTAAACAATTTTATGAAACAATATCTTTACATATAAGCCTGAGCAATCAATTAATAATCATATATTGATTTTTTGCAAATCACAGCCATTAACGGATTTGATAGCTCAATTTACTGATCATACCGTTTTGGACAGAGTAGCCGTATCTAAAGCGATCGATCGCGGTTTAAGTGTAGAAAGTCATACCTGCTTATCTTCCGCTGAAGCAAGAACTATATATATTAATATTCTTTAGAAGGGATTTTAGTGGATTGAGGATAAGTATCAATCCATTGTTTAAATATCGGCTACGAGAGGGATATTTAGGGTGGTAAGGGATTTAGTTATAACCTCAATTTGCTCTGAAGAGCTTTTAATGGGTGATGTGTTACTCCCAGTAGCTTTCGCGCTCTCCATTGTCCTTGTAAGGCTGCAAGGAAGATTTAAAAATAGGGCAGAGCAAATATAGGAAAGGTAGTTTATAGATAGAATATTTATAGTAAAGTCAAAAAATATGAATTCTAAATTATGAACAATGATTTTTAAGTATGTACGTGGCGTGTTATACAAGAGACGACTATATTAAATAGTCCTTTTGGACAGTAGCCGCACCTTCTGGTTTCCAGCCTATGTTTCCAGCCTATATATCAATACTGTTTTCAAAAACAGTTACTGTTTAGATCGTACTTTAAAAATAAGTACTGTTTATCAAACAAGTATATACTTCAAATATATATATATTTGAAGGGTATTTGTGAAAGATTAAATAGATCAAACACAAATAAAATTGCACATGATTGGCAAAATTTTAAACTATTTCTTTAAATTTTTGGCAATAAAAATAAATTGTTACATTATGGCTATTGAAAAAATTTTGATTTACATTTGCAGGCCCTCTGAAAGAGAGGCAATAATTTTTCATATTGCTATTGTATATTAATTTAGCAGTTTTTTTTTTTTTTTAAACACTCTGGAATGAGCACCTTTTTCCCTTTATGGCTCTATCCAGTGCAAATCTAGATTAGTCGGGCAGTGAGATTTGAACACGGAATGATTAAAAAGTACCAATTTTTTCTAAAAGCAAATTGAATTTTTCAGTGTAATATTTTTCTCTTCAAAATTAATCTTCCCAGACATTGAGAAGATAAGTGAGACGACTTAATATTAGAAAAGGCATCCATATTCTAAAGTTGTGTTCCAAAATAGCTTTTAAGCAGTTTTAGCATTTCGACCAGCTATGTTTTACAGTGTTCCATAATATATTGTTTGCACTGATTTTTAGAGGTTAATATAGCGTTTTATAAAAGTTTAATCTATATACCGTTTAGTTTTCAGTGCTTCATGAAAAGCTATTCAAACAGTTAAATACTATTAAAACAATTAACAATTACTAAAACAACTAATTTTGCGAATATACCCTAAATATGAGCGCGAAGTCAACAAATGACCTACCAAAAGGTGTGAGACTGATCACAACTAATATGCCCAATCCACTAACATATGTAACACATTTGCCAAATTCAAAAACATATAAAACAAAGCTCTTAGCTTGAAAATGAAGCTTTCTTTCACCTACCACACACACTAAACTACTATATATAAAACACTTCTAACTTCTTTGGTCTTCATCTTCTTCAATCTCTTTTTATATATAGAGAGGTCAGAATGACAATCATTTCTTTATGCACCAAAAACCTAATCCACATCTGTATACTTACCCTTCTATTTTTGCTTTGTGCAATTTGCCAAGATTCTCCAAGTCCATCACCATTACCTTCAACTCCTTTAATACCAAAAATTCTAAATTTCTCAGACCAAAGACTTGCTGTAGTATACCCTATTATCCAAACATTCAAAAACTCTATCACTTCAGATCCTTTTAATATCACTCAAACATGGGTAGGCCCAGTGCTGTAGTATACCCTATTATCCAAACATTCAAAAAAGCTATCACTTCAGATCCTCTTAATATCACTCAAACATGGGTAGGCCCAGATATATGTAACTACAAAGGCTTCTACTGTGATCACCCACCTGATAATATCTCTGCTACTGCGCTTGCTGCCATTGATTTTAATGGATTCCGGCTATCTGCCCCTAGTCTTGATGGATTCATTGATCAACTTCCTGATCTTGCAATTTTCCATGCAAATTCCAACAATTTTTCTGGTACCATATCGCCAAAACTAGCAGATTTACCATTTCTTTATGAACTGGACTTGAGCAACAATTTTTTCTTTGGAAATTTTCCTATGGCAATTCTTAGCATCACTGGTTTGTCATTTTTAGACATAAGATTCAATTTCTTTACTGGGTCAGTTCCTCCTCAAATTTTCACTCAACGACTTGACGTGTTGTTCCTTAATAATAACAATTTCATGCTAAAACTACCTGAAACTCTAGGCGCAACTCCAGTTCTTTACCTCACCTTAGCTAATAACAAATTCACAGGGCCAATCCCAAGAAGCATTTTGAACGTTTCGTCAACGTTAACCGAAGTTTTACTCTTAAACAACCTGTTGACAGGTTGCATTCCATATGAATTAGGGTTCTTGAAAGAGCTAGTTCTATTTGATGCTAGTAATAACTTGTTGACAGGTCCTTTACCTTGCTCTTTAGGTTGCTTAACCAAGATTGAACAGTTGAACCTCACCGGAAATTTGTTGTACGGCCAAGTGCCGGAGGTGGTGTGTGCATTAGAGAATTTGGCAAATTTGTCACTTTCAAATAATTATTTTACGAAGGTAGGGCCATTGTGTTGGAAGCTAGTGAAAAGTGGAGTTCTTGATATTAGACAAAATTGCATTCTTGGTCTTCCTAATCAGAGGTCATTTCATGAGTGTTTTATCTTCTTCTTGCACCCTAGGTATTGTCCATACCACCCTACTTTGTTGAATTTCATTCCTTGCAAAGTTCATCAGCCAATTCATCCATATATGGGTCCAAAGAGAAATTTTACTAGTTATAAAGCTCTTTTGAGACACAGATTGTGAAGAATACACACATATATATATTGGAAATTTTCAGGTGGAAGTTTGTGATTTTTTTTTTATTCAAGTGAAATATTTAAAAGGATGAGGGGTTCTTACACTACTGACCTAACCATGTTTTGGTAAATTATATGGTAATATATGCTGGTCTTTGTAATTGTATACATATACGAATTACTATAAGTGGTTGAGTGGAGGTTTTATGTGGATATATATGAGTTATATTAAACGGGAATTTCCCCATATGTATAAAGAAAAATCATAATTACAAATTATTCAAATATTTTTGAATTTTGATACTATCTTATATGTTGTACCAATTTCTACCTGCAATTAGACCCGGCCATATTACGGTTTTTGGAACCGAAACCATCGGTTTCGAATCAGTGGAAACCAAAAAAACTGGTCTGAATCGGAATCGAAACCGGTGCCCTAAGGTTCGATTCTGGTTCCAATATTTTTGGAACCGTGAACCGACGGTTCCCAGAACCGGGCGAAACCTTTCAGGAACTGACGGTTTGTCCAGCTGGTTAGAACCGACAGTTGAAACCGACGGTTCGAACCGGCAGTTCCAAATAGATTTTGAATTTAATGTTAAACAGCTAGAACCGGTGGTTCCACCGGTTCGAACTGGCGGTTCCAGTCGATTCCAGCAGCTTTTTTTTTTATTTTTCAAATAGTTTTGTGAAACCCCTAAATTACCCCTCATAACAATTATAAACGGCTACATAACGGCTAGTTTCAAGGGTTTTTGTAGAAAAATGATTTTTTGAATTTATTATAAATACCTCATTCCATTTACAATCCCCTCATACAAAATAATCTCTACTCTCTCTATTCTATATTATTCTCTACAGAGTGAGACACGCTAAACCGCCGGTTTCCAGAACCTAGGGCGTAAAACCTTTGGTGTCAGGAACTTGTACACGGTTCTGTATCTAGGGTTCAGCTTTGGTTAGAACCCGACAGTTTCGAAATAGGTACACGGACAGCGTTCGAGGCAACCGCCAGTAGTCCAAGACACTATGGAGATAGTATCCTGAATATTAATTGTTAAACCTTTCCTTCAGCTAGAATCCAAACAGAGTGTGAGTTACTCCACACCCGGTTCGAACTGCGCGGTTCCATCGATTCCAGCAGCTTTTTTTTTTATTTTTTTCAAATAGTCGTGTTGTGCCAACCCCCTAAATACCGGCCTTCTATTTGGGTTCTGTTTTCTGACCTCGGGGGTGAACAATTATAGGACGGGCGGTTAACATCACGGCTAGGATGTCAAGGGTTTTGTATGACATAAAGTTGCTTATTTGTTGTGTGAATTTATTTATACAATACCTGTACTTTGGCCTCTTATTCCACTCTTACAAGCTGCCGTCTACATACAAAAATAATCCTTACTCTCATGGTCATATTCGTTAGGTTATTTGCTATTGGTCTCTATAGATTTTCAATCTCACTCTTAATTTTTCATTCATAAATTAATTGTCAAAATATTTCCTGTGTGACAAATAGATTTTTTTATCAAAGTCCACATATCTCGATTATTTGTCCAAATTTTGTGAATTAATGTCTTCATTATTATTTCAAATCTCTTAATTTAGTGTTCTCACTTAACTTCTTTTTGTAATTGCAATTTTTCAGTTTACTCTTGATTTAATTTTGTTTTGATGTTTGGTTCTATAATGGCAAGATTTGAGACGAGTACCACCATTCTGCTAGGACTGTTTCGGCAGGAGTAAATGATGGACGAACCAGCAACTATCTGTCCTAGTCCGTCTTATCCCGTTTACTGTTATTTGTTCACGATAATGGGACTTCTTGATTGTCACTGGCCCTGCGCTGGTTGTCTAACTTATTACATTCTGGGTACTTAAACTTATCTTAGCTCGCTCCCCTGGCTGGCCCTGTAGTCTTCCGCGTCGTCACGTCTGACTGCTGGTCTCCTGCCTCTCCCGGCTCCTCCTCTCCTCTGCTGCTATGAGTGCGGCTATTGCCTCATGGCTTCTCTGAATGGTCTGATGCTGCCGCCTATAACTCCAACAATAATTACAAGTCACCCATCTATGAATGCGGACTTCCACTCCAAATATGAAGACCATAGTCTTGCCGAAATATCCCTACGCGTCCAAGCAATCTGAATGTAGATTGAAATGGTAGTACAAATGAAAATATGGAAATTCCAACTCAAGAATCTGAATTTAATGATGAGAATTTACAACAAGAGGAAGAGCAAGGTACATAAATTTTTTGAAGAGCAAAAGAAAGTTCCGACATATTTGCCATTCATTTCACGAAGAAATTTAAAGGCGACAAAATGTTTGATGTAATTTGTAATTATTGTGAAATATCTTATAAATACAAACAAGTGGGTGGTTATAGATAATTTTGGAAGCATTTTGAAGGCAAAACATCCAACAAAAATAGGAGTTGATCGATCTCAAACTTAAATTTTCGGATACGCATCTGCTAACATTTCTTTATTTCAATATTCTGAAAAACAACAAAAAGAAAAATTAGCTAAAATGATTTCTATTGAACATTTATCTTTTAGTTTTGGTGAAAAAGTAGATTTTAATCAATATTGTCAAAAAGCTTTAAATCCTTCTGCTAAAAAATATTGTTCAAAAAGCTTTAATATCCTTATCTGCTGGCTAAAGAGTGTCAAGAAATACTGTAAAACAAACTATTATTATCTTTCTTTAATAAAAAAAAGAAAGACAAAAATTTATATAAAAAAGAAAAAAAAGAGTTAGAACTTTTTTTTTCTGAAATAAAAATTCTTGTTTTAATTTGTTGTGATATTTAGAGTGATCATTGGCAATGCATTCTTATATGGGCACTACATGTCATTGGATTGATGATGATTGGAAAATTCAAAAAAGAATTATTGCCTTTCGTGTTTTCGATTATAAACATATTGTAAATAATATTTATAGAATGATTGTTTCAATTTTAGATGAATATAAATTCACCAAAAAATTTTTTTTCAATTTTATTTGATAATGTTTCTGCCAACACTAAATCAATTATTGAACTTAAATCAATTTGTAAACCACATATTGGTGGAAAATTTTTTCATATTAGATATATTGGTGGAAAATTTTTTCATATTAGATGTGCATGCCATGTTTTAAATTTATGTGTACAAGATGATTTAAAAGTTCTTGAATGTTTTATTTCTCCATTAGAAAAGTTATTTCATATTTATGGGAACATCCCCAAGTGATGAAAAGTTTGGTTAAATTTTGTAAAGAAAATAAAAAAAGACCAAAATGTTTTTCAAGAGATGTGCCAACTCGTTGGAATTCAACATATCAATTATTAAATGAGTCTTTTTCATATAAAGAATTATTGTGCATTTTTACTACTAACAATATTGAAGAAATTAATTTATATCCACAAATTGGGAGATTTGTGCAAAAATGTTGCATATTTTAAAATTTTTTAATGATGCTATATATAAATTTAGTGGGTTTATTATCCCACATCTCATATTTTTGCCTATATGCATTAATATTGTTAGTGAACTTCAAGAATTTGAAAATGATGATTTATTACAAATTTGTGTTTTATCAATGAAAAAAATGTTTATCTTATTTCAAAAATATACCATCATTTTTCTTGTTGCTTGTATATTTGATCCTAGATGTAAATTTGAAATTTTATCTGAATATTTAACTCTTTATTATGAAATATTAAATCTTGATATAGAAGATAGTGTTAATATAAATGTAGTATTGCATGAAGTTAGAAAAAATATTAAAAAATATTATATTTTATAATGAAAATTGTTGAAGTAGTTCTAATCATTACTACTTTTTTCTAATTCTTCTTTTCTCAATTTATCTCAATCATTCCCAAAAATTGAAAAGGTAAAGTGTTTTGGTGTTGCTGGAACCGTTATATTAACTAACAAAGACCAAAAAGACCTAAGAGGATCTGGTTCTTTTCCCTCGAAACTTGATTAAATTATTTTTTACTAACTTTCCTTTCAAGTTTTATGTGATAATTTTTTTCAGATAATATTTTCACTTCCCAGTTTCCTAGTTGTGGGACGGTCTTCATGCCAATACATTCCCACTCCAATACATTCCCAACCCTTTCACTAATTGCAAAACAAGTTTTAGTAGCTTCAGTCTCTACCGTTACGGTTGAATAAGCTTTTAGTCAAGGAGAAAACGTACTTGATGAAACACGATCTAGTATGACACCTGATTCACTAGAAGCACAATCATACGTGAATAATTATAGCAAGGCCGAACTAAGAGCACAAAAGAATATCAAATAAAATAAAGATTTATATAATCTTTACGATGTGTCCTCAACGGGAACATCATCCGGTGGTGGAAATAGCGACTAAGGTAAAAGGGGTGAAATTGGTACAAGGTAAGTAAGAACTACGTGGGCTTTGATTCCTCTAAACCCGAAGAAGACACGTAGGCAACTTAATTTTTGAAAAAAAATTAAGTACAAGTCCTTTTTTAAAAAAAAAAGTTTCAACTTTTTTAAACAAAAAATAAATTAAGTTGAAGACTTTTTTTTTTTAAAAAAAAAAAGATAAATTAAGTTCAAGTCTTTTTTTAAAAAAATAAATTAAGTTCAAGCTTTTTTAATTTTTAAGGGTATTTTTTTTAGAAATTATCTCACAAATTTTTAAATTTTAAAATTTGAAGAAAAATGTTCTCTACTTTTTTATTATACAATTATGCGATTCGCCAGAAAATCGATTGGAAAACCAGCCGAAATTGTCATTTTTGGAACCGTTAAGAAACTGAAACCAGAACCGTAATCATTCGGTTCCACACCGTAATCAGAACCGTCAATTTCTGGTTCTGTTTCAGAACTGATACCGGCGGTTCCGGAACTGTGGCCACTCCTACTTGCAATGAAGTTATCTTACACAGTTCCACTTGTACAAATTACATTGTATTGAATATTAACATCAGTTTTTTCAAATATATTTTTTTGCGTTCCTCATGCAATCAGATTAATCTTGTTTAAATATTGATAATAAAATACAATATCTGAAGTTAACCAGGTGGTGGTCTGGTTGGTCTTCTCATTTATATAAGGAGTGGGAGGTCTCGAATTCGAGTCCTCTCAACTACAGTTATTTTCACCAGTTTGGTGAGCCATAGGGAGGGCTACCATTTTGATATATAAAAAAATAAAATAAAATATCTAGTTAAATTGATATAAATTATTTTTTGTTATTAAATGGTGTTTTTACATACTTTCATCTCAAAAAGTTCTCATTAAACAAACTAGAGAATATAAATTATTTTTTGTTATTAAATGGTGCGATGGACAATTCTTCTCACATTTTTACATACTTTCATCTCAAAAAGTTCTCATTAAACAAACTAGAGAATATAAATTATTTTTTGTTATTAAATGGTGTGGTGAGCGTGGAACACACCTCACGATTCTTTCAGACCTGAAATAAAACCCCTTCTTTACCATGTCTAACAACTCAATTAGAAACTCAAGCTTATAGGAAGTGGTAGGAGAGCAAGAGATACCCAACAATCAAGTGTCAATGCCACCTTCTCTAGTGACCGACCCTGAAGTGGCAGCCGCCCTAACTCAAGCTTATGAGCAGTCCACCACTGTACTTGAGCGCCTGCTAGCTAAACCTCAGCAAGAGGACAAGCTAAAATCCCCAAACAGCAAAAGCAGGCATGTTGATGGCAATCAGGAGCACCCAAGTCTCTCTAATAGATCTGGCAGACAAAAGAACCATAAGCCTTTCTAGGACGAACCTCCAACAAAGCTGCCAGAGGGCGAGTTTGAAGCTTACCAAAGCTTTTATATGCATGACAATAGGGAGTTCGCTCCACCTGTAGAAAACAACGCCGATCTTTGCAATATTATTAAGGAAATTTTCAGAGAATGTAAAGAGCATGGAGAGACAAAAAATTTCAAACTCAGAGATGATTAGCCCCTGTCTCTGGACATTTTAAGCTCGGCTTTCCCATTGAAGTTCAAGATGCCAGTTTTCCGAACTAATGACGGTAGTATCGATCCTTGTAGTCACCTAGTAGCATTCAGAACAGTTATGTACTTGCAGACCAGTTCGGAAAACTTCATGTGCAAAGTATTCATTGTCACGCTCAAAGGCGATGCCCAAGAGTGGTATCATACACTAAAAACTGGCTCTATCCAATCTTTTGCTCAGCTATCAACACTATTTAGAGCTCGATTCATCATCAGCATCCCTTTGAAGAAAATTTCCTCTGGCCTCATTGATCTGAAGCGAGAAGAAGGAGAGTCATTAAGACAATATGTAGCAAAATTTCAAGGACTAACAATGCAAGTGGAGAACTTGAATGACAAAGTCGCCATCAGCACCATGGCAAAGAACTGTAAGTATAATAAACTTTTTGAAAGTATAAGCGTTGACCCTCCTCTATCTTTTGTAGAACTAATGGCAAGAGCTCATAAGTACGCAAAACTTGATGAAGCCTACCTCCACGATAAAAAAGCTGACCCGAAATGATAGACATAGTGGAAGGCGATACTCATCTTCAACAAGGGGAAGGTCGCCCGTCAGACACCCAAAAACAAGCTACCCACTTAAAGCCCCTTATCACAGAGAAATCAAGTTCGCTAAAGAAAGGGAGTTCACCCCCCTCAATAAATCATGCGCTGAGATACTAGAATAATATTGGAGCAAGGTAATAAAGTACAGATAAGCTTCCCCAGAAGATTGAAAGAAGATACCACCGGATATAGAGACAGGAGTCGATACTGTGAGTTCCATAGAGACATTGGGCATCTGAAGCTTGCTGGCAACTCAAAAGAGAGTTGGAACGTCTTGCATAGAAAGACGAACTAGAGGAGTATCAGGGGAGATCGGAAGGGTCTACCGATCTAGGATGTAGAAATGACTATATATGTTAGGTTTTTCTTGAGGTTTTTCATAAAAGAAAAATCCTTTGTCTTACTTTGATCATCGGGCTTAAGCAGTCCTGGCGAGCTCCAAAAGCTCATTGACATAGGGACTTAAGCAGTCCTAGCCGAGCTCCAAAAGCTCTTTAATATACGGACTTAAGCAGTCCTAGCGAGCTCTAAAAGCTTATTGACATATGGACTTAAGCAGTCTTGACAAAGCTCCAAAAAAAGCTCATTGACGTACGGACTTAAGCAGTCCTTGCCGAGCTTTAAAAAGCTCCTTAACATGCAAGCTTAAGCAGTCCTGATAGAGCTTCAAAAGAAGCTCCCTGACTTACAGACTTAAGCAGTCTCGGCCGAGATTCAAAACAAGCTCCTTGACGTAAGGACTTAAGCAGTCTTGATCGAGCTTCAAAATAAGCTCCCTGACTTACGAACTTAAGCAATCCTTGCCGAGCTTCAAAGGAAACTCTCTAATGTAAGGACTTAAGCAGTCCTGGCCAAGCTTCAAAATAAACTTCATGGCGTAAGGACTTAAGCAGTCCTGTAGAGTTTCAAAACGAGCTCCCTGACTTACGAACTTAAGCAGTCCTGGCCGATCTTCAAAACAAGCTCTTGACTTACGGACTCAAGCAGTCTTGGATGAGCTTCAAAATAAGCTCCCTGACTTACGGACTGAAGCAGTCCTAGCTGAGCTTCAAAACAAGCTGCCTGACGTAAGGACTTAAGTAGTCTTGGCCGAGCTTCAAAACAAGCTCCCTGACTTGCAGACTTAAGCAATCCTGGCCGAGCTCTAAAAAGCTCATTGACAGACGGACTTAAACAAATACACACGCATAAACAGTTTGTAATAGACAGACACATTTGGACATAAATGACCAAACTCTTTTGGGGGGACTCTTGATAATAAAATTAAATATCTGATTAAATTTATATATAAATATATTTAATAAAATCATATCTTATCCAATATCCCTGAAAATCCTCAACTAAATATTCTGGCAGTTAGTAGTGGAGAGAATCTCTCCACTAACCCACCTCTCTTTCCTCTATATAAAGAACTACATACGAGAAGCAAAAGACAATTCTTCTCACATTTTTACATATTTTCATCTCAAAAACCTCTCATTAAACAAACCAGAGAATATAAATTCTTTTTTGTTATGAAATATATAATTATCCTAAATTATTTTCGTTATAGTTATAGTTATAGTTAGCATCTTTAGGAGATAGACTTACCTAGATTAGGTCCATGGCTCCATGATCAAACCAATGAAAATATGAATTTTTGTTAAAACGAGATATTTTTAATAATACATGAGGAAAAAAAAGAATAAAGTAGAAACAATTTTTAAAAAAAAAATCTTATTTTCGTTACGTTGGTCCAAATTTGAGTAATTATTTTGAAGAACTTAAATAATGATGCGGTTATACTGTGAGGCCCTTCCCTCCAAATTTCTGTCTTTTTTCCATTTATATGGGTTGAAAAATGAATAATTACTCAAACATGAGAGATCTAAGTGTTAATTTGGTCATAATTTAGGAACATGAAAATATTTAATCTCGCATTTAATATTCGCTTTTCAGTCTATATAAAATGAAAAAAAGGTAGGAATTTGGATGGAAGGGCCTCACAATGTAACGACAGCATTATTTAGATCCTTCAAAATAATTGTTTAAATATTGAGGGACCTAAGTATTAAATTGACAGCATTATTTAGATCCTTCAAAATAATTGTTTAAATATTGAGGGACCTAAGTATTAAATTGGTTATAATTTAAAAACCTAAAAATATTTAACTTTATAAAAATTAAAAATAGAAATTAAATTGAACCGAATTGCTCCTGTCCAATCGCAATCCATTCATCAAGCCAATTCCAATTTAAAAAATACGGGGTTACAGGGTAAGCATCTATACCTGGGCACTTTTTTGGATAGATTTTATTAGATTATTTGATACTTTTTTTCACACTTAAATTTAAGCGAAAAGTATTATTTAATCTTTCTAGTTTTATCAAATTAATTACTTCATCCTTTTATTTTAAAAAATAAATTAAAAGGTCCCTAATTTAGTTCCATCTGATCAGAAGGTGCCATCGTCCAAAATGAGTTTTTTTTTTTTTTTTTTTTTTTTTATCATTAATCTCATGTGAAAAGTTAATTTAAAGGGAGAAAAAGAAAATTAATACCCACCATACCCTTATCGGCTAATACAAGGGAGGAGGATAAGAAAGACGATGGAGTAGTTAATTTGATAAATAGTACTTTGATAAAATTAAATTGGTTCTTTAAAATATAGGAACGGAGTAGATGATTTGATAAAATTAAAGGGATTAAATAGTACTTTTCCCCAAAGTTAAAGCAGCGGCGTTGGAAGCACAATAGAGTCATCGCGCTTGCTGACAGCTTTCAAGTTTTAGCAGTGAATTCTCGTCAACCGCAGCTCACTCTGTTTCCAATTACAGAATAAAAAAAAAAAAAAAAAAAAAAAATTCAATCAAAAAAAAAAAAAAAAAAAAAAAATTCAACAAACAGTCGGCTAGAGCAACTGATAAATGGCATCGGACCTGGCGGAGTTCCTGTGGAACAAGTTCTTGAAAGCTTTGGAAGAAGCAGAGCCTGAATTACATTTACGAATCGTCTCTCATTTTAAAGCTATCAAAAGAGTCATTAAAATTCAAAGTTTTAAGAGAAATACGTTCTTGTCCACTAGGCTTTGCCCATTGCTTTACGATCTCAATGACGCAATTTCTGAGTGCAGAGTCTTCGCGCAGCAAAGGAGGTTAATAAGTAGGAATTCAGTTCGTTTCAATCCGCTTACGGAGTTCTATTTTGTGCAGACGATGAAGAGACGGACGGCCAGAATCAAAACCAGATTTATAGGACTGGCTGATGTAGCAGAAGAAGCAATAGAAGAAGGAGGAGAGCGAATCTCTAAGTCCCTTCCGATTACGTTTCCAAGAGGCGAAGCGTCTAATGTTATCGGTTTCCATATCTACAAGGCCAAGTACAAGGAGAAACTACTGCAAAATAATGGTGGATTGAAGGCAATTGGGATAGTTGGGATGGGCGGCTCAGGAAAGACGACGCTTGCCCTAGAGATTTCCAATGCTAAAAGCGTGAGAGGAGAGTTCTCAACAAGAATTTTTGTGCGGTTATCGGATATTACTAGGAGTAATGAACCAGAAATTGGGCGTAAGGTGGTGAAGCTTGTTCTGGAAGCGTTAGGCTATGATATTTCTCGGTTGAGAGATACTAATTTGGATTGTCTTTTGTCAATTCTTTCTTGTCGTTTACTTTACAGGAGGTATTTGATTGTGTTGGATGATGTGTGGATTATTCATGAGTTTTGGGATTCTTTTTTAAAGGCATTGCCGGTGCAACCTGGTGGAGCTGTCATTGTAACAAGCAGGTTGAAGGAAGTGGCTAAAAAGATTGTGGGTGAGGAAAACTTGTTTGACATTCCAGCACTTGATAATGAAGATTGTTGGCAGATCTTTGTGAATATGGTTCATCAGGAGAGATTAATTTCAGTGGATCATCATATTTTGGCAAAGATTAAGGAAGAAATTAAGGACCAATTTCATGGTCTCCCTTTAGCTGCTAAGACACTTGCGAGGATCATCATATTTTGGCAAAGATTAAGGAAGAAATTAAGGACCAATTTCATGGTCTCCCTTTAGCTGCTAAGACACTTGCGAAGATCATTCCCAAAAGAATCTTGGAGATTTTTGAGTACTTTTCTCTGCTTATTCCCTTTTACTTTGTTTTATTCTGTTAATATTGTCGTTATTGGTTTTATCTTTAGTTTGTTGGACTTACTTAGATTGCAGTTTATTTTCTGATCAAGTAGTTGTTTTTATTCAGGTGTTTTATGGTTCTCTCTCTCTGTTTTTTCCCCTTGCTGAGCTATTTTATGTTGTATTTGTATTATATGTCAAACTAACTACAGAACTCAGTCTCAGTCCATTTAGTCTTCGTAGGAACTTATTTGATCCCATCCATTATTTAAATGAGAAAGGAAAATGGTATGATATTTTACTTTGAAAAATGTAGTATGAAAAAATGACGTAGTGATGTTTAAATAACATAGTTGACTGTCATATATAATGTAAAACAAAAATTTTTAGGCCCAATTACTCATTGGAGGAGTACTGCATCCCTGTTTACATGCTCCAAGAGGACTCAAATGTCATAATTGATACTCATATGCCTGAGTGTCCAGTCTTGGTGTTCATTTATACAAAAGAGAACCAACTTGGCAAGGAACTGTTTGACACATTTCGAAGTCTGCTGAATAGAAATCAGGTGATTTGAGTTTTTCCTTAAAAAATGTTGCTGCAAATGGAAGCTCTTTTTTGTTATATGCCAGAAATGATTTAAGTTTTGTAAATACACCCTCCTTGTTACAGGTTTTCAATTTGCTGGAAGTGAATCCTGGTGAAGAGCTAAGTAAGGTCTATTCCAATTTAGATAGGCTCAAACTTAGTGGTCTTAATCTTGCCAATGAAATTCAGAATAGACTAAGAACAATAGTGAGTTCAAGAGTTCTTTGTATTTTTCTCTATGAATGCACTTTCACAAATAGTTTGTTTGTAGCTCTCTGTGAACGTAGAATTTTCGGAATGTATTTTGCATTGTGAAATGAGAACATTATAATTAGGCCTCAGGGTGCTTTTGGATATTCTGAGAATGAACTTTTAAAAATAATGTTGGTACGCTTTTAGATTGTTTATTTGGCATGAAAAATTTCGATTCTGTCATATTAACTAAATATAACCTAGAAAGTAAACACTTATGATATTTTATTTAGTATTTTATGATCATTCCTTTGAATTATTTATAAGTTCGATGTATGTTAAGCAATAGGTTCTTATCAATTTATATGGTGCAGACAATATATATTGTGACCTTGTTTGGTTTTTGCAAGCTGACCTTTTTGGGAAGTCATTTTATTTTGGGGGAATTGTTTGTTTGATGATTAAGATTCTGAGTTCTTGGGAAGTGTTGAAATCTTGGGCCCATGAGTGTTGAAATCAAAAGTTGAGCCATTGCACTTGGGCTTCAATATAGCTCACCTGCGCCAAAATGGCCTAAGCCATTTTGGTTTGGTGGCTTTAACATTATTAGCCTTTTTTTTTTTCTTTTACTTGCCTGATGTGGGATTCTTTTCCACACTCATATTCCAACGCTCCCCCTCAAGTGCACTGGGTTGGACCTTGTTAAGGCCCAGTTGCCACTTGGCACTGCATGGGCTGGTCCATCTAACTTGGGTCTGGCTCCTCTAGGCTCAACCTTCAGGGTGTAGCTCTCCTTGACTAGCCCACGGGTCCACCTGAATCTGGCTCCATCGTCTCCTTTCACGGGTCTGGCTAGTCTCAGTCCACCATGCTTGAACGGGTCTCAGATTTGCGGCCATGGGGCCTCACCGCTCTGATACCATGTTGAGTTTTTAGAAATACAGAGAAACAATTCTTCTCCATAATCTCTAAAGTCATTTTATGTTGGGGGCATTGTTTGCTTTATAATTAAGACTTTGACTTCTTGGGAAGTCATTGTATTTCAGGGGAATTGTTTGCTTGATGATTAAGATTGACTTCCTCAAGCCAATTAATTTAAGTTTTGGACAGAATTGCAACAACAAACTTTAGGAGTTTTAATCATTAGACCTATTTTTTAGTTTTAAAAAAGTAAAATACAAATGATGAAATGAATGATGGAGATATGCACATTTGCTTGTATGATATGTCAATATGTATTTTTTTAAAAATGTTTACATATAATATGTTGATATATTTGCTTGGCTAACATTTGGCATATTTTGACTGGCACATTAATAGGCATGATTTCTTAGGTTGTAGGTGGAGATGCTGCTGTCAATATGCTTCTAGAAACTATCGATGATCTCAGATTGGAAAGACCACCCTCAATTGCTCCAATGCCTTTGGGATCTGAAAATGACCTAGCATTTTCATTTTGATCTCAGATTGGAAAGACCACCCTCAATTGCTCCAATGCCTTTGGGATCTGAAAATGACCTAGCATTTTCATTTGGTTGGGTATGCATTTCTGATTTATTAAATGATTTAACTATTAACAGTAAGATGATAATCATTTTGGGATTATAGCTGTTGGGTTTTGCTGCTGGCTTTATCAAATTAACTTTCTTTAGGCTATGCTGCGGCTAGAGTGGAGGTTGCTAGCATGATGAACATTCCTTGTCTTAACTTGTGTGTGATTTTGCTGAGCTAGAGAGAGGCTTGATGAGGAACAGGTGTAACTGCATTTATAGTAAAGTAAACAAACATAGAAGGTCTTTGGAGATCGCTTGTAGAATGAATATATTCTTCTGGGAGCAAACAAATCGAAAATTGAAATTACAATGCCATCCTTATCACTCAGTAAAGTAAAATATATTTTGGAGCAAAAGTGTAATTACATGTAGCCAAAAAAAAAAAAAAAAAAAAAAAAAAAAAAAAAAAAAAAAAAAAAAAAAAAAAAAAAAAAAAAAAAAAATTGTTCCCCCATTTTGGGTTGATTCAGTGTTGGTGGTCCAAGGTTAAGTTTTCACTCTTCCCATCGCCCTCATTTCCTCAAGAAGGGAAAGAATGCTTCCCCTCTCCAACGTTACTTTTTTTCTAGCTCCCAAATAGACGTTAAGGTGGAAGGATTTACAATCAAAGAAAGTTGATGAAAGTCAAAGGGAATTTGGTTTCTAAGTTTAGTCAAAAGTCAAAGGGAATTTGGTTTCTAAGTTTAGTCAAGAGAGAAAGTGATTAAGAGAAAGAGAGGTGAGGCTGGGGAGAGAGTTAGACAATCGTGCATGATTTTTATCACTAATTGAAATAGTTTTGCATGTCTGCTATTATGGCAGGTAAAGCCCGATTTTATTTGCACCATCTTGGAACTTTCAATCATCAAAAAATAGAAAAGACACTGTAAATGATTTCTTTGACTAGAAGCAATCACACTAAAAAGTTGAGTGAAGTAGAACCAGAAAGAAAAAGGTCAAACAAGGAATAAATCCTTGGAGAAGAGAGAAACTAATTCTCAATTGTAATAAGTTATACGATTGAGAATTAGTTTCTCTCTTCCCTAAGGGATTGTTCCTTGTTTGCTTTTGTTCTTTCTGGTTCTACATTATTGAGACACTCAAATAGTGGCAAAAAGTTTTGACACTGAAAATGTCGTTATCCCTTTGTTTGTGTGAGATAGGCTTTAGAAACCTATGCCTTTAAATAAAGTGACAAAATGGAGAGAAAGGGACATGGAATGGAGGATGAGGACCGATGTAGGTATTTAACTAGTTTATAATTGAGGTTTAATTGAGTTTGATAATTTTCATTTTGAATCAAGTTATTAATCTTTAATTTTATATTTATACTTTTCTAATAAACCTTATAAACAAAATTTAAAATGTTTTTCGTACTTGGTTCTTAATTTCCCCATCTACCTTCTGGTTCTATGAAAGTTTGAATTCCTCAATAGCATACGCATTTTGATATTCCACAGAAGCATTTCCTTAACTTTGCTGATACTCTTTAAATTGGACTATTGCCACTTTTTGTTGTGAATGGAGGGAAAATCCATCTTGAGATAATTTAGTAAATGTTTTAACTTTACATGATTATATAATTGTACTAGTATTATATCAGGACAGTTTCTTCAACTCTTGGCTATGACTAGTGATATCAAAGTTTTTTCAAAGCAATATTGGTCAAGCAATGCAATTATTTACAAGGGAAGTGAGGTGAAACATGAAGTTAGCTAAATGTGCAGGGAAAGAAGAATTCTGGGTCAGATCGTCCTTCTGTGGTGTCTTTTCTGAAATCTGTAGAGCACGCCAAGAAAATGAAAATAGACAGGTAGTTTTGAATGATATTGCTTCCTCTTTCTTTCTCTTTTCATCAATATGTATGTGCAGGATATATTTAGTTCATCTATCAAATTTAAGCTGTATAACTTATATGAGATCTAGTAACTTTTTACATGATTCACTGTCATAAATAAATTGTTAGGTTCCTCTTTATTCATGTATATCTTGCTCGCCAAATTAAAAATCCATGAGTTCAACAATTTTATTTGTAATTATGTTTGGGTGGTGAAGTACAAATTATTGGGGCAGAACTAGGTATTTTATTAAGTTTTGGGGCAGAACTAGGTATTCTTTATTAAGTTTGGCAAAAAAAAAAAAAAACAAAAAAAAAAAAAATATTGTTGTAATTAATGCTTGACAATTAGGCCTTGTTTATATTGTGAGAAAAAAAAAAAAAAAAAAAAAAAAAAAAAATATTGTTGTAATTAATGCTTGACAATAGGCCTGTTATATTGTGAGAAACCCACTAACTACTAATATTCTTCCCTTTGTATGCCAATTAACTTTCAGTTTTGACATTTTTTTGAAGGAAAGAAAATTAGTGAATTTTTACGATTGATACCATATTTATGATCTAGTTCTTTAGCTCGTTTTATGCTATCAATTAATTGATAAAAAATTTTAAGAAATCCTAAGAGCATTGACACTTCTGAAGTCCATAGAAAACAAATAAAAAGGAGTAGCATTAAAATATATTTTTCCTCCTTTTTTTTTAGGGTTTTATTTTAAAATATGTTTTTATTGAATTTACTCTTCAATTTACCTTGGCTGTATCGTTTCAACTGTCATGAGCATTCCAGTTTTGTTTTTAGTTGATTCCTTGAGAAGGTCTTCTAAGCACTGTGATCTTCGTTCATAATGATGAGAATCATAATTGTTTAGATTGGTAGCTTACGTATAGTGGAGACGTTAGTCCATATATATCAGATTCCATATCTTTTAACCTTTGACAAAGTTTGGAGTTGATACTATGATATTACCACAATACAGTGCATATGATGTGATGAAGACACCAGTTCTTCAGTTATTTGAAAATGATTATTGCAAATGCTTGCTTTGCAAGCACATCCTGATGGGGATGCTTCCAGCTTCGAAATTCATTGCTCCTAATTGCTATGTAGGTTGGTACAAATCCTACTGATTGTTTGGCAATAATGGTATTCATATTTCTCAATCTCAATTCACATTTCATCATTAATTATCAAGCTCTATATCTTTTTTCTTGTTCTTGGGCTACATAATATGACTGTGGTTTTGTCCAAAGTATGGGCTACATAATATGCAAGGAAAAAAAATAAGTCTTCTTTTGAGCATATATTTAGCGAGTACTTTGGATATTCAATAAATTGTGTAGGCTGTTTAAGTTTTGTATATGTCACTATTGTTTTCTTTCTTTATTTTTGCTTTCCCACATTTTGTTTTTGATGTTCCCCTTTGAAGTACAGCTGGCATATTCTCATTAGAATGAGGGCTCCTGTGGAAGGTTCCTGTGACCCTACACCAATTATGCTTCCAGGGTCATTGCACGCGTTTCAACACGTATGCAACATGGTAATTCAATTGTTATTTTCCTTTTCCTCTTGCACACTCGCTTTGTTTCTGGACCCTGGTTGGCTATTAAATAAAGAAAGTGTTTCTCCTGAACATATGAATATCTAAGAAAAACCTGTCCTTTTTTATCCTTAGAACAGGTTAAGCTTTAAATTGGTAAATGAAAATTTATCATGTTTAAGTGTAAGGATTGTGTCTTTACCATGCTGATTGCCTTCCATATATTCCATTATTGATTAATCAAAGGCAAGCTTTCTCTGTTGAACCAGAATTGTTATGTCTGATTTATATGTGGTAATTGTTCAGTAACATTATCTGAATTAATTTTAAAATCATAATATCTGAATTAAAGAGCCAAAAATTGGAAAAACATCCCAACTACTTAAAAACTTTGTCTAGCATGATTTTTTTTCTTAATGAATGCTGTATTTCCCAATATATGCACATTGTGCTATATGTAAACTTACCAATAATATATTGGCTGCCTCATAGGAAGGGTATCATACATTTCGTGGAGGATTCTGGACCTATTTCAGCATAGGTAAAAGTTCTTTCCCGGCCAAGAATTTAACTTTTATCCTTATAATACTGATAACTTATGTTGAATGTTTTGTTATCAGGAAAATGCAAAATATGCTTTCTGTTGCAAGATTATGTTATCAGGAAAATGCAAAATATGCTTTCTGTTGCAAGATTACCTCTTTTTTTTCCCAAATTAAATAATGCTCTAGAACCTCAGTTATTTTTTTTTTTTCTGTATTTAAGTCAGAACAGCTGATAAATAAACATTTGTAAATTTGCTAGGTATTCTGATATACAAATTCCAGTATGAGAATTACTTAGAATTTTATTAACGAGGCTTATGTGTCCTTTGACCTTGTGACAGAATTTTACAAAGAGAGTAAGGAAGTGCTGTCTAGTAAGGAAGTGCTGTCTTCCTTATTATTACATGATTAGATCTTCCATCTTGAAGAATGCTGTAGATTTTAAATCTTCTGATACTTGATTTAAATCATTACAGCTTGGAATATGAAAACCACTTCCATTTGTTGTCTACAGGAATACATGCTCAACTCGAAGAATCGAAAAAATTAGTTTATCAGGTAGAGGAGCGCATTAAGATTATATTTAATAATGCATAAAATCTAGCTACAAGTTTTCTTTGGTAGTGAGGTAGGTCAACTTTGGGATTTCCAAGGATTTATTTTCAGTTAATAGATAAATGTTTTTGTTCTGATTACCATCCTCCATTCAGATGTTATATGGAGACAAGTCTTGCTGTCTTAATTTTTTAAATATACACAGTTGTCTGTAGGTTTCTTGGCAAAGTTTGTGTATTTAGTGTGTAAAGCCATTTCACCTTGTATAAGGTGAGGCATAGGCCCTAAGTTTTATCTTGTCATCCATAGCAAAGTCCAATAGGACGTCCCTACTGTGAATTAACCATAGGTAGTTTATCTATGTTGCTCCAAACATTCATCATGCTGGTAATTGTCTCTTCATTTGTACATCAAATTTACATATTAGTGAAATTCCTGTTCCCTACACCCACTCAGTACTACACTTGCTACTTGGTCATTTGATTTCTCTGAATCAGTAAATACTAACACAGATCTTTTGTTATTCTCCAGAATTATCCTGTCGATTGTGCAAATTGGTTTTAAGATACTCTAGTGTTACACCTTAATTTTTTCAATCTCTCACTTCCAAATCGTGGTAGCAGGGTAATGGTCACTAAATTGTACCAGAGTAAATATGGACTAGATTCTACTATAGTAAAAAAAAAAATTAATTTGTTACAGTTAAGTCACTTAAAGTTTAATTTTGCTCCAAAATATGGACTAGATTCTACTATAGTAAAAAAAAAAATTAATTTGTTACAGTTAAGTCACTTAAAGTTTAATTTTGCTCCAATAAAGTTTAATCAAGTTAATTTGATGCTCAGGCGATTGGGAATGCAGATGTGGTATATTAATAACTTGAATATTTTTTAGCTTATATTGAACTATTTGAGACCCACACAATCGAATTTAGTTGACTAGGAGGGATAAATTAGGGTAATTAGGAGAGAGAAATTTGAATGAAGTTTGGCGTATGGGTCCCAAATGGTCTAGTTTGAGCTTAAAAAAATTGGTTTAATTTGACATGGCAGCATTGATTCGATTGCACAAAACTATTTTGATTGAACTTGATTGAAGCAAAAATTAAATCTTGAGTGTCTTAATTGTAGTAAATCAATCTTTTGTATCATGATGGAATCTAATTATTATTACAATTTACCCCAGATAATGGAATCAGTAAGTTTACATTTGTGTAGTCTCTACAACTTTGGATGTCACACTTGTTTATGGGAACTAAGGTGTTAATTCTCCAGTCATTTGGCATCTTTGTTTTCATTTTCTTAGTGAATACTTTCCCTAACCATGTGGCACTCAGCTTCACCATACATGGCAATATCTGATTGAAATACTGTTACAGATGCATGTTTTTCCTGCTTTGATATTTCTTATGCCCTCCTTTATTACCTCTGGGGTCCTGATTTGATGTGTATAATTGATCTTCCTTATTCAAGAGATTATCAAAAATAACTTTTGTTTCCTTCAGACTGTCATCCCTCACCTGGGCATTGCAGTCTTGGCAAATCTTGCACTTAATTTGATATCCTTTTCTGTCTAGTAAGCTAAGGTTTTTAAACATCTTTTTTAAGGATATAGCAATAAAGAATGAAGATTAATGGATAGAAATAACATTTGAGGGAAAAAAAATTTGCAATAAGCATCTAAACAGCGATGGTGTTGCAACTTGATAAAAGAATGTCTTTTTGCGGTGGACATGGTAATGCAGATAATGTATTGACAAGGAGGAGTGACAATATCTAATGCATCATGATGTTACTTGCTAATTGTTTCCGTTTACATGATTTCTTGCCTAGGTTTTTAGAGTCTGAATGGGCTTGAGTTTGTAAGTTAATCTTGCTTTTGTATATCTTGGATTATTTCTGAAGGTAAATTACTAATACCCTCCTAAGGTTTTACCCTAACATACCTTTTCCTCCCTGAGATTTACCCTAATATACACCATTTTGAATTTGAAACAATAAGGATGAAAGTGTATATTAGGGGAAACCTTAGGGGTAATAGTAATTTACCCTTTTCTGAAAGAGGAAATGCTGCTTATGGCCTTTATAATCGTTTTTTTTTTTTTATTTTTTTTATTTTTTTTATTTTTTTATCTTCTAGAACCAGAGTACTTCTGCAAGGCCTGGCTGTATGCGAGGATTGTTTTCAAAGTGAGTGTATACATATCCTCATTTATTGAGAAGATATCATCTTTATTGCTATCCTAATAGTTCTAAATTGCTAAAAACTTCAAGTTCAATATTCTAATTTGATGAAAAGAAACTATAGCTAGGAGCATAAGATATCCTCCTCCTAATGTAAAGAAAACACAAAAAACAAGAAACATCACCCACCAAAAGACAATGGCCTCAATACTTGAATCATACTAAATGACACCAACAGAGAAAAATCCACCATAATCTTGAACACACCATCTAAGAATTTTGTGAATCACATTCTCCCGTTGTTCTCAAAATTAAAACCCTCCCAGACTTTTTCATTAAATAATAAAATTAACTTCCAATTGATAAAATACAAAGAAAATGGATAATTTAACAAGATGTCCCTAGGACATATAATATTGTGGTCTCAAAGCTAGCTTATACATTCAAATTTACACAAATAAAAATATGATACACAAAGTGTTTCACAATATTTTTTTAATTGGTTTTACGCATGCACACACCCACGCTCTTTATGTTGTATAATATATGTAGAAATTAAAGGAAAGAATATGTTTTATTTCTTTCAATTGTGTTATATTTTTCAACCTCTACTTCACTATATATATATATAAAATATTAAAGGAAAGAATATGTTTTATTTCTTTCAATTGTGTTATATTTTTCAACCTCTACTTCACTATATATATATATAAAATTGTTCCAATATAGGAAGCAATCTAAATAGGAATAAACCTAAACTAGGAAACACAATCTTTAAACTAATTAGGAATAAACCTAACTAGGAAACACAATCTTTACACTAATTAGGAATAAACCTAAACTAGGAAACACAATATCTACTTTAATCACAAAGATTTCAACACTCCCCCTCAAGTTGGTGCATAGATGTTACTCATGCCCAACTTGCAAATTAAAGGATGAAACAACTTGCTATGCAAACCCAATGTAAAGGATGAAACAACTGTTGTATGTGCAAACCCTTTGTGAAACACTAAGCTTTTATGCCCTCTTTATGAAAGCTAATATAACGATTACACTTTTATAAAACCTTCAAGCTATCTTCTCGTTTTAATAAAGTGACGATAGAAACTCTATGTGCTTTATATGTCGATCATTGCTGAGACTGGATTGTTCATGAATACTGCGATGGCTTCCATCTACTGATCATAAAATAATGGATATATTTGTTGTTTTCAACAAAGCATTTGCTCCTTCATTAATTACTGCGGCACCATAGAAGTTCACAGGATTCCTGTCATATGGCTCTATGTTCAGCTTCCTGCACTAGACCTTCACAACAACAGCCCTGCCCTTTTCTTGCTATCTCCATGTGACCCAGAGTTTCCCTCCAAAACAAAAACATCAATAAAACCTGACGGATTTGTATCTCGCTGTCATGAGGGAAACCAGCCCCAATTTCCACATCTGTTATAGCCTGTTAAAATGGCCATGTTTAGAATGGGCAAGGTAAATCAACCTCCCGACCAATCTCATGATATTTGCCAACCACTACGTCGTCAAACTGAACTTTCACCACTCCGCTTGAAGCGTTATACAAATGCCTTCAATAGGTGATGACGCTGCTCTGCAGGTTGTTAACATCCCAACATACCCAGTTTCTTTTAAAGGAGATCGCAAAGGTGTACTGTTCTCTGAGAAATAAAAACTCCCATTTTCTGACCTAGCAAACTTCTATCCAAGGAAATATCGTTAAAACTGTTCCCAAATCCATTAATCTCAAACTCCCTAGCTAACAAAATTTCTCAGTGAGTCAATTTCTTGCTTCCATTATTTTCCATCATCACTATATCATCAACATAAACAATTAAAGCAGATGGTGATTCTTAAAACTTCCATGAACGTTTAAGTGAACAAAATTGATCAGCATCGCTCGAATATACCCAAAAGAAAGCATAGCTTTACTAAACCTTTTCGAACACAGGCCTCGTGGTGATTTGGGTTTTAGTCCCATAGTTAATGACTTTTTCCAAGCTTGCAAACTTGTTCCTCTGGTTTCTGGTCATCACTCAAATCCAAGGAAATCTCCATATAGCACCCTCTGAGCTCTTTCAGAATCAACCATGTAGAAAATCGACATTTCTTAGTAAGACATCAATGATGTGTACTCCCAAGTCAAAGATGACTGCACAAGAGCACAAAATTCTTAGTGTCGTATCATCCTTGGCTACAGGGGCAAACTGTTTCCCTGATAATCAATTTCAGGTCTGACCTGAATCCTCTGCGCTAACCAATCTAGCCTTATACCTCTCAATATGAACCCAATCTGCCCTATGTTTAAGCTGTGACACCCATTTACATCCAACTGGCTATTCCTTTCCCTGGATGGAGGGAGGTACAGATATCCCCATGGATTCCCTTGTTTTTTGACGCAAACTCTCAGTCAGTCCTTCAAACACATTTGCAGCCTTTCCATTTTCGTGAAGTCCTGTAATGCCTCTTGCCAAATCCTCGTGAGTAACATAGAAAGCAGAAAGAAATAGACAAACACAAAGGCTCTATTAGGAAAGGGACAAAGCGATTAATAGGAGATAAGAGATGGGAGATGGATGTTTAAGTGCATGTTCTACTGGCCACACTCCTTTTTTCTACGAGCCATAGGAATCATCAACGGTCATTGTCAAAGAAGGAACTGGAATCAAAAGAGTTAGATCAGAATCAACATGAATTAAAGAAGGGACTCACCGAGTTCTTTGTTCTTCTTGTATCTATCAGGGACTGAAATTGAGAGGACGGTTGAGAGTTGAGAGGTCTCATGCTCATGGTTAGTATCTGTATTAAGTCCGCCGTGTGTAGGTTTCAAAAATCAGGGGTTTATCCAATCTTCCAGAGATTTTGGGTGGTTGCTTTCCTCTTCACTATTCTATGATCTACAGGAATCTCCCCCTGGAAAGAAATGTCAAATCCATGGGCACCTCTGTCCATCTGATATTTCTCTTCCCCTGAAGCAGGTGGACTGAGGAAGGGAAATAAGATTCAACGTCCCCAAGAGGTAAACATCCAGTGACTGTTCACAAAGTATTTCCTGAGAAGAACGGAAGTGATAACATCTTGTAACGCTTAGTTTGAATTGTAGAAGTAACCAACAAACACAGCACTTCATGTCTGTCGTACGCGGGTGCTAAACGCATACAGCGAGCGTGTCATGACAGAGCGATCACGAAGGCTCTAGGATCTAATTTTGCTTTAGACCCATTATGATGAACCAAACAACACACACCAAAGACTGATTAGGAGGTACTGACAATAAGTAAGCAGTTTTTCCACTGTGAACAGAACCTCTAAATGGAGTTATTAAAATTATAAAGGACGAAGAGGGAATAGCGATTGAATAAGGGGTAAGGCAGCAGTTGCAAAATTCGCATCCTCAATATGGTTTAGAGGAAAGGATTCATGGTGAAGCACAAGGGACCTTAGCTTACTTCGCAGTAACAATGTCCTTTATTTTTTTCCCTTTTCACTGCACTACTCCACATTGGTTGAGACACATAAAGTAATTGAACCCAACTAGTCTGGATGTATAAATTACCATTAGAATCGTCTAAATAGACTACGAAAAAATTGAGCATATCATGTAATATTTAGTACTCATTTATTCAGTTCTGTAGGATTATTAACAGATGGCCTCAAACTGAGTACGAAAATCATTTCATGAAGTTCTGATAAACATAAAAAAAAACTTCATACACAAAAAAACTTCATTTTTTGTTTTCATCAAATAAACCCAAGTCAATCTAGTGCAACAATCAATAAAGGTCACAAACCATCTATAACCAGAAAAAGAGACAGTTTTAGTAAGACCCCAAACGTCAGAATGAATAGTAGCAAAAGGAATCAAATTCTTATTATTAATTGGAGAATAAGCATGCCTAGTGTGTTTGGCAAGTTCACAAGCATTACATACTAATGAATTAAAATCACATTTAGCAAACAAAGTGGGAAATAAACGTCTAAAATAGAGAAAGAGGGATGTCCTAATCTCTTGTGCCATTGAATAACTTCATGGGAAGGATTTCTAGAAGTTCCTAACAAAGCTTGACTGGTACCCGAATTTGAAAAACGACAAACGTCATCCAACAAATACAACAAATACGGTCCGCATCCGCGCGAAGATTACCACTACGCAATCGTTACTCTCCTGCACCCGTGTTCAGTGATCCTCGAAGATATACGTACAAATGAGAGTAGGGTAAAAGCGAAGCTACTTTGCATATTTAAGTGCGAATTATGCTGATTAGATGAGACTAACCGAATAACAGATTAATAGGAATCTAAAGAAAATGAAGAAACAGGGGAAGAGTTTAATAATTGGAGAGTACAGTCAATAAGAACCTGAATGCCCAACGGTCGCCGCAATATTGGTAACAGGAGCCATCTTCAATGCCGAATGTTTGATTGTCGCCTTGGGAATACTTGAGAAGAATAGTTGTAAGGAACATAGTTTTTTAGGAGCCTGTTGTATGTTTTAATTTGAGCTCGTTGAATCTATTAGACTCAAGATGGTGACTTAGTTAACATCACGGAGAGATATATTTTGCAAGAAAATTATTAAGGAAAGCACTCTACCTGGATTAAAAAAGGGAGGACTGCAGTCTGGGTTTGAGGACGAATCAAGGTGTTGACAACCATTGTTTCAGGGACTGAATCTCTTATCAGAAAAGCTTCCAACAGTTAGATGGTCCTGCAAGATAAGATCCACTATCACTGTGGATATGTGTGCCTGTGGTCTAGAAGAACTGACGGCCGCTTTCCTCTCACGCCCTTAGTTGGGCGTCCAGTTAATTTTCCAGCAAGAAACTCCTTTTAAGATGTGCCTGTTCTTACTGCAATACGTCACAAAAAATTGATCTCTATTTGAAGTATTCTGCTCTTTCTTCTTACAGAAATTAAAGCGGCCGGACGCGGTGGAGCGACTGGTTCACGAGCCGCAGACAAGTGCGGGGCTGTTGAGGAGGATTGGTGAATAGGCAGAGAGCATGGATGGGGGATGGGGCAAGGGGGGTAGACGGAGCGAGAGTGAGCGCCGAGGGAGCTCGCTGTGGCATCAACGCACTGCTTTTGTCAATGGTAGATCTGTGAACCATATGCGTTCCTACCTGGGTCTCCTAATTGCTGTAGACAATGAGTATGGCTTGTCGTAAGGATCGGAAAAAAGGATCTCGTCCAAGAAACTAAGGATCGAGAATCTGATCATACTCGTTATATTTGATGTGAAGGCTAGCCAGAAAATCATAACCACACGTTCTTACTTCAATCAACTTCTGCAACTTGAAGTCGTCATCACTGACAGTGAACATTCTTGCTGAAAAGTATTGATAATACTCTAAAGTTCCCTTTTAGCCATAACCCCTAAAGTGTCAGCAAAAATACTGAGCGAGTAGTCCAGGATCTTCCGCTGCTTGGTTTCATGAACTTTCTGTCGCAATTCATTTCACACCTCGAGCATAGTCTTCCCAGTGTTTGTGAATAATCGTCTGTGATAAGCACGCATCCATATCTTCTTAGCCTGTAGTCTGTGAAGCAGCATCCCATATCTTCTTAGCTGTATCAAGAAGCAAATATCCTTGGGAAATAGTTGGCTGCATGGAATTTATTAACCAAGACATAATTAAAAGCTAGATCTGTCGAAACTGGTTTAGTTGCTCCACCATCAAGGTATCCCTGCAAACCTCTAGCTTCAATGAATAATAAACAAGACCGATACCAAGCCAGGTACTTTGTTCCATCTAACTTCACCGGACTAATCTGAAGTGAGGGGCTTTCTGAGTGAAAAACCATATCTACCTTCTTTCCGTCAACCATATTTTAAAAAAAAAATTTAAACGGCAGCAGTGGTAAAAGGCAGCAGCAATGGTGGAAAGGGAAAAAATTCCAAAAAAAGAAAAAACTGGTGCTGAAGAACCAGTAGGTTTGAGTCGCCACACCGAGTCGAGGTCGTCGGAACAAGAATCATCGATGGAGCTCGCCGGAAACAGCCACAGGCGCCGGTCTCAGACCACTTTGTAAACTGAAACTGTTGCCGAAATATTCACGGCAATGGCTCTGATACCAAGTAGAAATTAAAGGAAAGAATATGTTTTTTTTCTTTCAATTGTGTTATATTTTTCAACCTCTACTCCACTATAAACATACAAAAAATTGTTCTAATATAGGAAGCAATCTAAATAGGAATAAACCTAAATTAGGAAACACAATCTTTAGACTAATTAGGAATAAACCGAAACTAGGAAACACAATATTTACTTTAATCACAAAAAACCTGAGAACTAGAAAACAACAATATTTTACTTTAATCACCAGAAAGATTTCAACAAGTATGATGTATCAAGTAAATTTGGCCTTTACTTTAATCACAAAGATTTCAACAATATATGTATCATAAATTTGGCCTTTTGACAAGTATTTTTTTCACCTTTAATTCACCCTAGTTGTTTCATGCATTGCATATTATATCTAATGATATTTAATGCATGAATAAATTATATCTATATAACCTATTGTCATATAAAATTGATGTTTAAGCAATATTAACATATCCTATGCCTTTGGTTTTACTTACTATTGTTGCAACTGTTCAAATAAATGTCAAAAGTAACTTCCCAAATTTTCCAATCATTTTAGATTCAAACTTGGCATGCATATTGCAGAAAAATCTACCTTAGTGTACCTAAACTTGTCACATTTTGTTTATTAAGTCTCTAAACATTGATTTCTCTATAGTCTACATTAAGCCCTAAAACTTTTATCTTTTTTTCACATTTGATGGAAAAAGTAAAATTCATGAGAATTCTTTAACCATACTTTGTAAATTACTTAAAGATTGCACTACATTTCAAAAACTTGCACTTCTTTTCAAAATATTGCATTTCTTGATAAATAGAACTTTTTTTTAAAAAAAATTTAGGGGCACAAAAATGAGTTTTTACTTTTATATAACTTCAGTAAACTCCAACATTGAAAGCATTGTGCCTTTTTTGAATGTTTCTAAATCATCATTAATAAATTTCTCCTGGATTTCACTTTTGCAATAAAATATCCTAATATTAAAAAGAATTAACGGTCAAAATTACCCCAACATTTTCACAATTTTGCAATTACATTTTCTTTTTTCTATGTGTGTTAATATAACATTTGAAAATTAGTTAAAAATTATTAAAATCTTAATTTGTAAGAGTAAAAAATACTTAGAATTATAGAAATATCTTACTTTAAACTTTATTTTTAAATATGAGAAAGAAATGCATAAAATGATAAATTTTTGGTAGTTCCTGGTAAGAAGTGGTGGTGGGCAGTGATTGATGGTTATCAACGGTGATCGATAACGGTGACTATAAGTGATTAGTGATTAATAAATGTATGCTTATAAGATTATAGTAAGTTTGTCAATATTTGAAAAATGTTTCCCCTTTTTGAAAAAGAGAAATAATTTTCCTTTAAAATACATTAGTTTTCCCTTTGACCAAAAAAATATTTTTTCATTGATTGATTTTCATTAACACCCCAAACATCAGAGAATCAGGAAAATGTTTTTTAGTTAAGTTATTTTCGAAAACAAACCTTTGACCAAAAAAATATTTTTTCATTGATTGATTTTCATTAACACCCCAAACATCAGAGAATCAGGAAAATGTTTTTTAGTTAAGTTATTTTCGAAAACAAATGGAGCAGCTATTGTTAATTCTGATATCTTACTGGGTTGTTTAGCTATGATAGATTGTCTGATTTTTTGTTTTATGTTTATGTCATTTTTTTCAGATTCTCGGAGGCTTTTGATTCGTTGAATTTAAATTTTAGTACAAGATGGATTCAGCATTTTGTGAACAGGTTTGTTATAAATTTATAATCAACACGTATTGTTAAGCCATGCGTTCATAGGTAATCAAAGCTTGCTTAATAGGTTAAGGTGGACCATAGTGGACCATTTTTGTTCCTTCATTTCTATTATGGTCACACAACCAGGATCTCGTCGCGGGCCTGTCAACGATAAAATCTAATTCAAAAGCAAAGCTTTTGTTTTAGCTTGATTCTTTCCTCGACCTATTGTTGCTGAAGATTGCGAGCTCATTAAAAGGGAGCTCTAACCTTAGGCTCGTTAGAAAGGAGCTCTAACCTTAGACTCGTTAGAGAGAGTCTATATCTCAATTTAGTTGAAAATAATTTTGCTTGTTTTATTTTATGATTAAAGCCTCCAATTTATAGAGGGATACAAGTACTAATTAAAGTAATTCTACTAGAATGAGATCTCCTATCATACATAAAATAGGAAATTACTAAATAGAAAGACTACTAACTCGTTGATCCCCTATCAAAAATAAAATCAGGAACTACTAAATAGGAAGACTAAACTGCAAATTGTCGTAATTGCATCTCTAACAATTTCCTTCCATTTTTGTAATTATTGGATGAAGCAAGAAACAAATATCCATGTTGGATATGATTGTGCAACCAGTATGGTTTTCAATGGAATATAATTCATAATGTAGTTGGGGATATTATGTCTTGGGAACTGCTAAATAATATCATATATTTGAATAGTCCTCTTGTGTTGGTGCCATCATATCAACCGGTACTTTCTTTTTTCTTTTCGAAAAAGTTTCCATTCTACCTGCACTCTATTTATATAATATAGATAGTAGTTTGAATGTCTCAACTCTATACACACACACACACACACACACACATACATATATATGAGTTTGAGATAAACAAGACAACTCTATACACACACACACACACACACACACATACATATATATGAGTTTGAGATAAACAAGACTAAAATATAGAGGACTGAGCTTCATTGTTCCAAAGGTTACAGATTTGATGAAACTCTATGACAAACATTTTACTAGAAGCCTGTAGCAGTGTCTCTAAGTGAATTGTAACAATATGGCCTTATATTACAGGGGCATAGCTTCTTATGCAAAGATAAAGATCATGAAAAGGCAAGGTCTATGGCAAGATGTCTATGTACCTTATAGGTAATTTAATTTTCATGGGTTAGCCTTATAGCCTTTCTGCCTGCCTTTTGTCAATCTTGTTTGGGTTTGCATCACGCTACTGTTTACCCTGAAGAGGGCTGTTAATTTTGATGATGCTACTGATTTCAGATCATTGTTTATCCGAATCTCTTCTTTCAGAACTTGACATGAATTAGAAAATGAGATTTGTACAAATTTTCACTTTGAAGCGTCTAATTTTGACTGTTTGATTCATTACATTTTAACAAAGAGCATCTATAGAAGCCACAGTTGATTTGTGCAGCTAATCAAATTTTGTTTAATTTATTGAGTGTTGTTTATCTCCTGTTATATATTTATATACTTTTATAGTATTTATTTCACATTGCATCTCAAAATTTATTTAATTTTAGCACTGCAAAATTTTATGTATAATGCTTTTCAAATAAATTGTAGAAAAATAATTATAACAAACTAAAACAAAAAAATCAAATAAAATAACATATTTCTATAAATCATCCGTATCTAGGATGATGTCCATGGGGGCAAAGGTTATTAACAAATCACTGCTGATTGAGATTTGTTGAAATCTTTGTAATTAGAGTAAATTATTAACAAATCACTGCTGATTGAGATTTGTTGAAATCTTTGTAATTAGAGTAAATATTGTTTTTCTTAGTTTAGGTTTATTCCTATTTAGATTGTTTTCTATATTGGAACAATCTTTTGTATATATATATATATATAGTAGAGTAGAGATTGCATAATAACAACACAATATAGAGAAATAAAACTCTCTTTTCAAAAACTACATGGTATCGGAGCCATGCCGTGATTTTTCGGCATAGGTTTTTTGTCCGCAAAGAGGTCTGAGTTCCAAGTGGCGCCGCTAGGAGAGGAAGTTGGTCATCACCGCCCGCTTCAGAAGGAGGAGCAACCGCTGATTGGCCTTCTGGTCAAATCCTGTCGTTGTCTGATCACACGCGTGTGCACACGTGCCGCTCGAAGTTTCTGAAAATCATAAACAAAAAAAAAAAAAAAAAAAAATCAGGAGGTGTTGGACTAATTAGGACTTTAATTAAACAAAAAAAATCATAAACACAACACTCATTGAAAATTAATATTACTTCTCAAAATACTACACTTTTATTCTATATTTCACTTATATTTAGAATACAAGTTTCTGCCAATATTTATAGGGCTTGAAATAGAATACACACCACAAATATAATCTTTTGTTTCCTGCCACATGTTCCAACTAAACATCTCATTTACCACAAATTTTCAACCATGTACGTGGATGCATCATGTCCATAGTTTCCCTTTAAATTATTTTGCCAACACATACAAAATAATTATGAGAAAAACATTACCATGTGAATTTGTCCAAACTTCCATGTGAGCTTTGTCTTGGATATGTGTCTTCTTCTCCTCTTCTTTTTTTATTTAATTAAGTTTAATTATTTTATTTTTTATATTCCAATACTCCCCCGTAAACTTAATTATCTGTTACTCCCAGCAATGCTCGCAATTGATTGAACACGTCATATTTGAGTGGCTTTGTGAAAATGTCAGCATCTTGATCTTGCGTTCTCACATACTTCAATGTGACTTCTTTGAGTGGCTTTTGTGAAAATGTCAGCATCATTTTGAATCTCTGCGTTCTCTCACAATACTTCAATGTGTCGCAATTGATTGAACACGTCATATTTGAGTGGCTTTGTGAAAATGTCAGCATCTTGATCTTGCGTTCTCACATACTTCAATGTGACTTCTTTATGCTCAATGCACTCTCTGATAAAATGAAACCTTGTGTCGATATGCTTGCTTCGATCATGAAAGACTGGATTTTTTTGCTAATGTCAACGCTGATTTATTATCAACAAAAATATCTGTTGGATCATGTTGTGTCATTTGAAATTCCTTCAACAATCTTCGTAGCCATATTGCATGACACACACATGAGGTTGCAGCAACATATTCAGCTTCACAGGTTGACAATGTGATGATAGGTTGCTTCTTTGAACTCCAAGTGAACGCCGTGTTACCAAGAAAAAATACAAATCCACTAGTGCGTTTTCGATCATCTTTATCACCGGCCCAATCACTATCACTGTACCCAACTAATTTGAACTTGTCAGATTTTGAATAATGTAATCCAAAATTAGTTGTACCTTTCACATCCTGTTCTATGACATTGGTACATTTGCTAGCAGCTCCTTTTCATTCAACAGCAACAACTTTCGGTTCACCATGTGAACTTGGTAATTTTTCTCCAGCAGTTGTCCCAAACTTAAAATGTTGCTTTTCATGTTTGGAACATAATAAACATTGCTGATGAATTGGTGCTCGCCATTCTTTAAACGAATGAGAATGATTCCTTTGCCTCGAATAGGAACTTTTGAGGAATCTCCAAAAACAACATTTCCACTGAAAGATTGGTCCAGCTTAACGAATATTTTCTTATCTCCGCACATATGATTACTTGCACCATTGTCAAGATACCATATGTTATTTTCTGGACTTTGTTCACCTTCATGGGTTAGTAATACCGTGCTGGTTACATCCTCGTCTTGAATGTTGTTAGCTGTTTCCTCTACTTGCTTAGGCGGACTCCAACACTCTGATGCGTAGTGGCCATATTTGGAGCAATTGTAACATTGAACATTTGACTTGTCACGTCCAGCATTTTTCCTCCAATTTCCTCTTCCTCGTCCTCTTCCACGTCCACGACCTCTGCCTCTTGTGAACTGGGTATTTCCATCATTGTTGTCACCTCTTCCGAATTGTTGACTTCTGCCACGTCCTCTTCCTCTTTCGCTTGACCTCTACAACGTCCTCTTCCGGATTGACTGACATCTCGGCGATTTTCATTTTCTTTGAATGAAGTCTTTGTCGCCAAGACTTGTTCTACAGACTCTTCTTTTTGTCTGTTTAGCCTCTCCTCACGTGCTTGCAATGAACCAACAACTTCGTCAACGGTCATTACACTTATATCTCGCGATTCTTCCATAGCCACCACTATGTAGTCAAACTTTGATAGTAGTGATCGTAGAATTTTTTCAACGATTCTCGATTCATCAATTTTTTCTCCATACTGTCGCATTTGATTAACGACAGATTTTCTTCCATAGCCAACCAACTAATGTAGTCAAACTGTTGATAAGTAGTGGATAAGAATTTTTTGCAATCGATTTTCTCCAGATTCATAAACAATTTATTATCTCCATACTGTCGCATTATGATGTAACGACAGGATTTTACTCGAGGAGTAAGTCCCGTAATTTGCCTTTCATCAATTTTTTCTCCATACTGTCGCATTTGATTAACGACAGATTTTACTCGAGGAGTAATCCGTAATTGCTTCTGCCTCCATCTTCATCATCTCGAACTCACCTCTTAACATTTGAAGTCGAACTTTTTGTACTTTCTCCTCTCCTTGAAGAGAAATTCGTAGTATGTCCCAAGCTTGCTTGGAGGTGGTAGCTTCTGCCACCTTCTCAAACATTACATCATCCGATCCTTGATGGATTAGAATGAGTGCCTTCTGGTCACTCTTGCGACTTTTATGCAAACTGTTTTTTTCTGCCCGAGACAATTGGAGAAAAAATTGATGAATCGAGAATCGTCGATAAATTTTACGATCACTACTATCAAAGTTTGACTACATAGTGGTGGCTATGGAAGAATCGCGACATATAAGTGCAATGACCGTTGACGAAGATTGTTGAAGGAATTTCAAATGACACAACATGATCCGACAGATATTTTTGTTGATAATAAATCGGCGTTGGCATTAGCAAAAAATCCAGTCTTTCATGCTCAATGCACTCTCTGATAAAATGAAACCTTGTGTCGATATGACGTGTTCAATCAATTGCGAGCATTGCTGGGAGTCACAGATAATTAAATTTATGGGGGAGTATTGGAATATAAAAAATAAAATAATTAAACTTAATTAAATAAAAAAAGAAGAGGAGAAGAAGACACGTATCCAAGACAAAGCTCACATGGAAGTTTGGACAAATTCACATGGTAATGTTTTCCTCATAATTATTTTGTATGTGTTGGCAAAATAATTCAAAGGGAAACTATGGACATGATGCATACACGTAAATGGTTGAAAATTTGTGGCAAATGAGATGTTTAAACTGACAATATGGTTGACGGAAAAAAGGTAGACGTAGTTTTTCACTCGGAGAATCCTTCACTCCATATTAGTCCAGTGAAGTTAGATGCCACAAATTACTTGGCTTGGTCTCGGTCCCATTTGCTATTCATTGAGGCTAGAGGTTTGCAAGGGTATATTGATGATGGAGCACCAACACCAGTTTCCACAAATCTCAGTTATAACAAATGGAAATCAAGGAACTCCCTTATTATGTCTTGGCTAATCAATTCTGTGCAGCCAACCATTTCATGGGTATATTTTCTTCTTGATACAACTAAGAAGATATGGGATGCCGCTTCATAGACTTACTCGCAAATTGGAAACTATGCTCAGAGGTATGAATTGCGACAAAAAGTTCATGAAACCAAGTAAGGAGATCTGAATATCGCTCAGTATTTTGCTGAACTTAGTGGATTATGACAGGAATTGGATTATTACCAAGACTTTCAAGCAAAATGTACTGATGATGCGATTCAAGTTCAGAAGTTGATTGAAGTAGAACGTGTGTATGACTTTTTGGCTGGCCTAAATAACAAGTATGATCAGATTCGAGTCCAAGTTCTTGGACGAGATCCTTTACCATCCTTGCATACTCATTTGTACAGCAAGAGGAGACTAGGAGGAGTGCTATGGTTCACAGATCTAATTTGTACAGCAAGAGGAGACTAGGAGGAGTGCTATGGTTCACAGATCTACAATTGATAAAGCAGGGTTGATTGCTAATTCTGCAAGAGAATATATACAAGCTGCAAAGAGCTGTTCTTCAGCTAGAGAGCAATAATTTTGTGACAATTGCGATGAGAACAGGC